ATGTTGAGTGCTTCTTGCTCGACTTGTCGTGCCAACGAGTTGCTAACAAGCTGGCTGCAAAGCTCGTGTGAGCTGGTGCACTGCGAGCTTACCCCAGTAGGTCATTACTCTGCATGACTGCTTGGCCACGGGAGTTAATAAAACGAAGTAGCTTTAGTAAAACAACGCAAGTTTTAGATCAGCCGATGGGGAAGCTTACTTTTACGTCGAGTGCAACTTCAGTTAGATTAAACTTTGGATGGTTTTAGGAGCAAAAACAACGGGCAAAATATGTGAAAAGCACAATAGTACCCCGAGTATATATTTACAGGGAGAACGTGTGCTACACCGGTATGTATAGTGGCACTGAACGATCTGGCCGGTGATCGACACAATGTATCTTCGAGAGGACAGCTTGGTATCTTCGAGAGGACACCTTGGACTGACGATGTGTCGAGTACACAAAGGTATCTTCGAAGGGACACCTTGGTCATCCGGATAGAGAGCTTGGCGTTCCAATACCTAATCGGTTGTATGTTAACCAAGTCGCTTTCATTGTAACACGCGCAAGTTTGACTTAACGTCGGCAAGTACTGTACGGTGCAATGAAGGCACGAGCAGTGCTGACGCGTGCATGCACACCTGGCTTGTCGAGCAGACCACATTCTCCGCCCCAGCTGGCCACGCCCACCAAGCGCACAACTCCGTTTATTTCGATGGTCAACGGTCCCCCCAAGTCGCCGCCACACGAGTCTTCTCCTTTCTCGCCTCCAACACCCAACATCATATCGGTCACTCGTCTGGGGAAGAGCGCAGCCGAGGCCCTGGCGTAGCTCCAGGTCGTGACGCTGAGCACCTTGAGCACGCGCGATTGGGGGCCACCACGCCTGACGTATCCCCAGCCGCGTACCCAAGTGAGCACGTCCGCCCGAACGACACTAAACAACACCCTCACCACAGGTTGGATGGTCGTGATGTTGCGGTCCAAGATTATGATGCGAACGTCGATGCCATTGGGGTGTTTGATTTCCTGGGTGACAGTGGTCAGTTCCCCGTCGGCAAAACCGGTTGAATAGTGCGTGCCCATGACTACATAAGGTAGCACACCGTTCAAACAATGCGCCGCTATCAAAACGACATTGGGGGCGATCAGACTGTCGCCGCACTCGGTCTCACCATCGGGTGACTTCTTGGGCCCAGCAACATAACGGTGCTGGACTCCTCGGGGGCTTCCTGCCCCCCGAGGATTTCGAAACCGTCGTCTGGGACCTCATCGCCGCAAGCGACTTTGGGTGGGACGATTTGGTCTTGAGTCAAGGCACCGACGGCCACTGTGAAAGCTAGAAGGAGTGCGAACTTCATGATGGAAATTGGAAAATTAATGGTGTTTCATCCAGGGGTACTAAAATATCTATCTTTTACCTATTCTCGATCTGTACGTTGATAAAGTACTATATTGATTCGACAAACTAGGAGAATTTTGGAAGGTTATAGTGAATGATTAATACTACTATTAATATATATTATACTATTAATCAGTAATACATGATTTCGTATATCGTATCTGGGGGATGAAAAGATAACTTATTTTTCCCTGTGGTGAAAATAAATAAGGTAACGCATCAATCATCCGAACGGTTTTTGAAGCAGATTTTGTCGAATTTTTAAAGTCTGAGTGCTTGCGACTACCATTTTATTATATTGAGCTTTTAGCATAACGTTAGAAAGAAAATATAATTTAAGGACTATATTTTACATATGAAGCATGATTTGATATTTGTAGGCAAATTAATATGACCAAACATAAGCATAATGAATTTTAACATGCACATACAGTATTCTCCGAACAGTTTCAAACATGAGGAGATTTGTATACATTGAATTATAATACGAATTAAAATTCGATTCAATATAATCCTGACAAACGTCGAAGCGATGGCAAGCGCCCACGACCGAGGGGTCGCTGTGATAGGCCAAATTTCCTCAAATGTACACTATAATGAAGCACAGAGTAAGTACAGTATACATATCCCCGTGCACCCTTCGCCTCCTAACGTGATTACATCTTCTGCAAGTGTTACTTCAATGTGGATCCTTCATCCTTTGAAAGTGCGATCCAGTTGCAGGTTTTTCTGGCAAGAATGTCGGCCACGCTGTTGGATATACATGACGCGAAAAATGACTTACAGTAATGACAAGAGGTGCGTGAGTGCATGTACGTATGTTTTACGCATCCCATCCATCCATTTGTTTAACCTTGGTATGTACTTGGTGAGCTAGAGCAATCACAGTATGACGTAAACGATTGCATTGACTTGGCTCATTTTCCAATTTCCATAATGAAGTTCGCACCCCTTCTCGCTTTCACCGTGGCCGTCGCTGCCTTGGCTCAAGAACAAATTGTCCCAGCCAAAGTCGCTTGCGGCGATAAGGCCCCAGACGACGGTTTCGAAATCCTCGGCGGCCGGGAAGCCAAATTCGGCAAGTACCGTTATGTGGTTGGACTCAAGGCGTCGCCCGTTAATGAGACCGAGTGCGGCGGCAGTCTGATCGCCCCCAATGTCGTTTTGACAGCGGCGCATTGTTTGGACGATCATCCACCTTATGTAGTCGTGGGTACGCACTATTTAACCGGTTTTGCCGACGGGGAACTGGCCACTGTCACCGAGGAAATCAAACACCCCAATGACATCGACGTGGGCATCGTAATCTTGGACCGCAACATCACGACCATCCACCCTGTGGCGGTGTCATTTGAATTCGTTGAGGCGGACGTGCTCACTTGGGTACGCGGCTGGGGATATGTCACGAGTAGATATAGTGGCCCCAAATCGCAAGTGCTCAAAGAGCTCAACGTCACGACCTGGAGCAACACCGCGGCCTCGGATGCGTTATTCCCCATCCCAGTGACCGATACGATGTTGGGTGCTGGAGGGGTGAAAGGAGAAGATGCGTGTACAGGAGACTCGGGGGGACCGTTGACCATCGAAGAAAATGATACCGTGCGCTTGGTGGGGGTGTCCATCTGGGGCCGTGGCTGTGGTCGGCGCGGCAAGCCAGGTGTCTATGCACGCGTCAGCTCTGTTCGTGACTTCATTGAACCGTACTTGCCGAAGTGAGTCAAACTTGCGCGTGTCATAATGAAAGCGACATGGCCAACATGCAACCCACTTGGTTGACATACAACCGACTTGGTTATGGAACACCAAACAGCTCGTTAGTGTTTGTCGTGTCCGAATGAAATTGTCCGAACGGAATATGTTCAGACATACTTCTGTATTGTATTCACCCGCATAAGAACGATCAGCTTTACGAAGCGAGCGACGACAGAGCATCTGCCAACAAAATTGCGCGTACCGCAGCGTAGCGGAGGTCATGTGTATAATTTTGTGCAGGCGGTTCCTTGGCGAGGGGTGAGCCCCAATCGTGCACTTCACCGAATGTCCAATCGATTTCTCTTGTCGGGAAACGCGGCAGGTACGCGGACAAGGCCTGTGGTGCATTACAACTATTCGCATTTAATGCATAAATCCACTGAAGTGCGTGTCCGAAGCACATACCAAGCAAATATGTGTATGGTATGACAGGGGCGAAATTTGAAACAACGAAAACTACCCTCAGATCTGAAAAGTGATATTGTGAATTCGCTATAAATTTCCAAAATTCGCCTGGTTTGTCGAATCAATAGGCAGATTTCGCAAACGCCAGGTCTATTCTATCTGCAACCTAAAATTTAGAACCCAGATAGGTGCACAAGGTTGCAACCTTGTGCAGTGCGAATTTCGCAAATCATCCGCTGCAAATTGGTTTTATCGAGAAAACGTTATCCAATCAAACTTGGTTATTATTCTTGGCCATCATCACTCAATAATGATGCAGGCTGGAGTCCCTCGGTAAATGACACTTCCAACGCATACAAAGGCGAGAATTGTACGCCTACAGTCGGATTGGAGCTTACTAGTTGGATTCTCGCCCAGCACAAACGAAGCGTTACCATCCTACCCACTTGCAGCATCATTGTACAGATAATCTGGTTTCGGGGTTTCGCCCGCGAGGTCGACGAAAGACTTTACGTCATTCTCGTGCCGGGACAAAGTAGTGAGGTCCTTCGAGAGTATGTGAGGACACCGTGTTCAGAGCGACGTCCTTCTACCACAAATGACATACTCATGAGACTCTAACGTTAATGCGATTCACCTCGCCATCCCACGCTGTCGCCATGGATGGTATTGTGCTTTTCACCTTTTTTGGCTAATCCAGGTCTAAAACCATGCTTTAATAAAAATCGCCGTGATATTACGGATGCAAGATGAAGTACTTTTACCGTTCGCGTTGAATTATAACTATTCGTGATGCTTTGATTGGCTAAGAATTGGTGGAGGTGCATGGTTTTATCTTATTCAACTAGTTGTTTTACAATGATCAGAATCGACATGCGTTGGAGATGTGTTGTGCTTGTCCAAGTTTATGGCATTGAAGTTGACGTCGTTCGCCTCATACTTGGACTCTCACGAAGTAGCGTAACAAGATTCAACACGATGGGAACGTGACGTTCAATCGATCCCGCTGCATGTTGGTCTCGTCCACTTTGCGAGTGAGATGGTCCAGTAAATAACGACCTGTCTTTATTTAGCTCATGTGCCAGACTCTCGATTTGCGTTGTTTAACGTGTGGTTTTAATTCTGTCATCCATTGAATAGTGCGATAAAACAATGGGCAAAATGGATGAAAAGCACAATACTTGAAGTATGATCAAACAAACACAAGCGCATCAGGTTACACAGAAAACCCACCATTTATGCGAATACAGCAAGTGGGGAATCCGCTGCAAAATTGGCAAATTTTACAGCGGCTTTAATTATTTATAACAGGTTCAGTTCTATCCTTATCGAATTTGAGAGCATAGGTTGCGGATAAAATAGAACTGACGTTTGCGAAATCTGTCTAATATTGAATCACGCTGGAGTTCTGATTGGTTGAACATACTTGTGTCCTTTCTTCGATAAAACAATGGGCAAAATGGATGAAAAGCACAATACTTGAAGTATGATCAAACAAACACAAGCGCATCAGGTTACACAGAAAACCCACCATTTATGCGAATACAGCAAGTGGGGAATCCGCTGCAAAATTGGCAAATTTTACAGCGGCTTTAATTATTTATAACAGGTTCAGTTCTATCCTTATCGAATTTGAGAGCATAGGTTGCGGATAAAATAGAACTGACGTTTGCGAAATCTGTCTAATATTGAATCACGCTGGAGTTCTGATTGGTCGAACATACTTGTGTCCTTTCTTCGAGAGACAATCAAATCCACTCAAAAATGGATTAGCCAATGGCGTCAATTCGTGATTCGATTCGACGGGGTCTGGAAATTCGTATCGAATCCACAATACATGGGGGAAACGTGTTTTGCCGACGAAACGGTCGAATGCATGCCTTTCTTTTTTTCACTTTTTTCGACTTTTTTTTGTCTTTGTTGGGGCAGTGGAACCGATAAAAACCCGAGCTGACTTTTTTTTCCAGCTTTTTTGGTTTTCCTGTTGGAACCCAAAACCATGATTTCATTTTGATATCGCCTTCCCTACCTACTACATTTGTACTTCGAAGTACTAGTATTC